CAAACGCCGTCCAGCAGTATTTCCAACCGGAACCGCTACCCGAGGCCAGCTCCAGGCAGCGTGAGGTGTAACGAAGGCACTCACAGACACACCGGCAGCCACGCCTTCACCTCGCACAGGCCCCCTTATCTGAGGAAGTTCTAGGTGGATGAACTGGTAAGAGGGAATAACCCAAGACACTCCTGAAAGGAGAGAGTAGACCCAAAAGAGGATGACACCGCATCCAGGAACCACGGGCTCCAGCACCAGGACAAACAAAGGAATATCCCAGGAAAAAGTGCTGGAGTAGCCGGGGTGGCTGGGGCGGAGGCCAGCCCACCAGTCAGGATAGAAAAGGAGGAGCAGCCTGGGGCGGGTGGGCACAGAGGGAGGGAAGGAGACTGCCTGACAAGTCTGGATGTCCTGGGAAACAACGTGCCACCTTTCAAATAATTTGGAAGCAGATTTGTGATAGACAAAAAAAAAAAAAAAAAAAACTAAACAGGGACAGTGACAAAGCAACACTCTGTGCTGCACTCCCGTATGGGAAGGCTCCTAGTCCTCCAGGGGCCCCCTGAGTATGCCAGGTACCCATGTGCCTGTGATCCGGAGCTGGCTGAGGCTGAGCGCATCACAGCATCAAAACCCTTTTAGGGGCCAGCAGTTAGTGTAATGGCTATGTCGCTGGACTCCCATGTAGTCGACCATGGTTCGAGTCCTGGGCCTGGTAGTTTAAACTCAAGCCAGGCACGTGTGCGTGCATACCCAAGATCCTGTGAGAAGAATGGAGAAGGGATTGTTGCGTGGCCATCCCCCTCTAGGGGGTGATTTTTCGCTTTCTGTCTACCTCTCTCTGTCTTGGCAAGCGTATGCGCCCTATAGCAAAAACCTCTCCAAAAAAAAAAAAAAAAAACCCTTAAAAAAAAAAAAAAAAACCCTTTCAGGATATGGGAGCATGGGGTGGGGGTGGGCTGGCAGGTGGCATGGTGGTTAAGTTACTAGATTCCATATGGTCGACCACAGTTTGAATTCCGGACTTGGAGGCTTGCTTTCTCACTTTCTTTCTCTCTCTCTCTCTCTCTCTCTCTCTCTCTGGTCAAATTAATCTCTCAAAAAAAAAAGTACTATATTTGTCTGTCTCTCTCACTCAGGCAAATAAAAAAATAAATAAAACTTCTATTAAAATTTGTTTAAAATAATGAACAAACTATGGACCAGTTCCATGGTTCAACAGTAATGCACTGCTCAAGGGAAATGGATCCCACGTGGAGACCACAGTCCAAGTCCTTGGCCCAGTTGGCCTGAGACACACCCACCATGCATGTAAGTGCTCCAGATAGGACAGGCTGGAGAACTGGAGGAAGGGGTGTGGCATGGCAGACCTGGTGCTCTCCTCCCTGTCCCCCCATTTCACATGAACGCGCACCTGCTCTACCATGAGTAACTAGGGGAAGACCCTAAATAAGCAAAAACACATAACTCTACGAAAAATATATCATTCAACAAAGGAAATAAATATTAATGTCAACTGGAAACAACAGCTACATAGTTCTAATAATAAAACCACTGAATATTAATTTAAATGAAAGTGTAATTTAAGTATACAGAGACAACAAGAGGGTAAAAATCACAAGAGAGAAGAGTAGAAAGAGAACCAGCCTCATCTTCCACAGTAGGGAGTTCACAGATACCTTAAATACCAGAGCGCAGCAGCATAAACATGTCAGTAAAAACTCTGGAGGGACAGCCAGCCTGTGGTACAGTGGTTAAGGCTGCTGGATCCCACACAGTCAACTGCCTGGTTCAGATCCCAGATCTGGCAGCTTGAGAAACACCAGGCACATGTGCATGTCAAGGGGAGAATGGAGGAGAAGAGTTTGTGATATGGCCACCACCACCATCCCCAGTCCACAGAAGGGTGATTTCTCACTTTCCTTCTCTAGCTCTCTCTCTCTGCATATATATCTCTCCAGTGAACACACTGCCCTATGGCAAACTAAAGTTAATAATATTAAACTGTCACATCATAGATAACCCACAGCCCCAAAAAACTCTGATTACGTTCAAATTTACACCTGCAATCATCCCTTTGACTAAGCACATATAACACACAGAATCTCTTTTGGGAGATGCTCATACCTTGAACCTCAGAAGATGGAGAAGACTACATAAACCTATGAGGATCTCATGGATTCCAAATTAAAGCTCAGAAACATTCGCAATGAATTAAAAATCCATAGTGAGACACGAAGACCTGCCTTGCCTAATAATAAACCTACAGATTGTATGGTCTGAAATACCAAATGTATCAATTCAGAATTAATTTGAGCATAGTTGGTCTCTATCAAGCATACCCTAATATTATAATATATTCTAATTTTACATTCTTTTCAAGAGGGAAAGACAGTTATTATTCTCTATGAAAAGCATGCTTTCCATGCTATTTTTATCTCCCCAATGGTTAAGCCAAAAATCTATTTCTTTGGCAATGACCCAACACTTTTTCCTCGACACATTTCATATCTATCTCAAACAGGTCCAGAGGGGATAGAAGTTTAAAATACAAATATATAAAAGCCAGAGCTTTATTTGTCATTTAAATCTGACTTTAGAGAATTTTTTGATTACTATTAGTTACATTCTGCTTGTCATATTAACACAGTAGAGAAAATTAACTTTAAAAGTCTATCTGGAACGCCAGGTTACATCAATACAACCTAATCTTTAGTCTCCCAAAGCTGTAAAACAGAACTATAATCCCCCGAGTTAAGTAAAGAACAATGTAGAAGCAACGTGCACTTCCACATGCCTTTCTTCGTACCCTACAAAGAAAAAGTTGACCAAACTAAGCTTTGCTCCATCACACAAAAGACCACCGGACAGCTTCCTAATTCCATGTCTTGTTCTTTCCAAATTTGGTTTCAGAAAATAATTTCCCCAAAATGCATCTTCTAACATCCTGAGAGTAGAGCTACGTGGCTGCACCTTTAAATCATCCAAGTTAGATCAGAGTTCAATGACTCCATGGCGACATCCAGGTCACAAGAGCACACAGCTGCAGCTGCTAGAATACCTGATTTTGACTTGAGGATAACCTGAATGGTGTGTCCATCGTTGGTGACTTCGCAGTCTCGGCAGACCACGTAATTTGGGGAGAGGCGGACGTCCAGCAGCGAAGGGTCGTATCTCGCTTCTCTCGAGTTGAGGTTAATAGGAGACTGGTATTCCCCGTTTGCATCAGGAAACACCAAGCCCCACTCGACACCTAAGGATGAAAGTGTGAGCAGGTTAAAAACATAAGATACAGTACAACGTAACGCGGCTAACCCAGTGTGAACGCTTGCATGATCTTTGACATTATAAAGACAGTTATGACAACCATCTCTGGGCAGATGAAATATGGTAATGTATGGGCATTATTGCATTCATTATTTAAATGATCTAATAGCAAATACACATAAAAATCTGCACTAATAAAATAGCTTATTTGCCGGGGGCCAGCAGGTAGTGTGATTGCTAAGGTGCTGGACTCCCACATGACTGATCGAAGTTCCAGTCCGGAACTGGTGGCTTGCAAATGCTGAGCACATGAGCACGCAAACTCAAAATCCAGAGTGGAGAACGGAAAAGGGATTACATACCCATTCTCCCCAGGGGGTGCTTTCTCAGTTTCCCTCTCTTATTTTCTCTCTGATGCTCTCCAGTGAGCATATGCACCCCACGGTAAAAAAAACCTTTAAAAAATACTTACTTGTGTTTGTCCACATAGATGCAATAATTCATGATTTTGGAAATTTAGGTCTTCTTTCAGTTATTAGAAAAAAATAGTATCACAAAAAATATCCTCTGCTCATTAGCTGAATTACTTGAGAACCTAGGAAATAGCTGTAACTTTCAAAGCATTTGGTTAAAGAGCCAAAAGCCCTAACTCAAACGCTGGTGGATAAACATCTCTTATCAAAAATGCAAAGACGGTACTTTAAAGTGTGACGATGTACACACATATACAATCTACCGTACATACAGAACACACACTCTTCCCAAACCTCATATAGGTACACTACCACCTTCTGGAACTGTTCCAGTATGTAGCAAACATCAGCACTAACGGTTAACCTATCAGGAGTCCCAAGTCTTCAGGGATAAATTTAGGAAACTAGTCTTTTTTTATTTTTAGTTTTGTTTTTAATATTCCTTGCATTACATTTTTAATTTGCATTTAATCACTGTACATCTTCACAGTGTACACAATGGTTTTTCCCAGCATGAATGCACTACTATCAATCAAGTCAAAAATATTACCATATATATCATCAACAGTTAACTTTTCATTTTCGTGTCTGTTCAATGTTTGTTTTTTCCCCTCTGATCGCCTCCCTCCCACCCTCTAACACCCCCTCCCTCCTATACTGTCTCTGATGCTATCCTATGGTCCAATATTCCAGTTTGGTTGGTTTTTTTGTTGTTCTTCAAGTCAGCCCCTCTGGCCAAGCCCGCTGAGGCAGCGAAATTTAGGACGTTTTAGAAAAGTTGAGCGCTGCTAGTAAGTATTCTTCACGGAAGGCAGAATCACTTTCTCCCACAGTGCTCCAAGTCAGCAGAAACCACGAGTGCCACTAACGCAGTCTTCTCAAGGTGGTGAGTGAGAGGCGCCGCCGCTCCGGGCTACAGGAGTCAGCCCCGCTGCGCCGGGCTGCTGGGAGCCGGGCTGCAGACTCGCCCCCGGGAACGCAGCAGGTGTGGCCCGCGGCCCGGGGAGCAAGCGCACTCGCACCGCCGGCTTCCCGGGAGCGAACGCAAGCGGCGGGAGAACGCAGGCGACAGGGGACAGGCGACAGGCACGCCTCCCGGGAGCGCCTGCCGCCCCGCAGCGCTTCAGAGAAGGGGACAGAGACCCTCGTGGGAAAGAGAGCACGTGAGGGCGCAGAGCCCAAGCTCGGCTGGACCCCGCGCACCGTCCCCGGACCGCGGCCACCGCGGCGCAGCGTTACCTTCCTCGTAGCCCCACTCCACGCCCTCCTCCTCTTCCTCCTCATCCTCCTCCTTCTCCGGGAAGGCGACGGAATCTTCGATGAAGCTCAGGTCAGCCATGGGCAGGCCGCGGGGCGAGCGGGCAGCAGTGGGCGTGGGGGCGTGTGTGCGAGTCCGGGTGCGCGTGTGAGTGCGAGCGTGAGTGCGGGTGTGAGTGCGCGTACGAGCGGGCACCGGGCCGGCGTGGCAGGCGACGGCGCCGAGGGCACGGGGAGCACGACAGGTCGCCCCTCACTGTCGCCAACACCCGGCATGTGACCTCATTCCCAGTCTGTCCTGTATGCACACACACGTTTCAGCCTGTGGCCCCCGCCGTCCCGCCTGCCGCTTACGCACCCACCTTCCAGGACCCGCAGTGACCTGAATTCAGCCTCGGGACTCCTGATGTCCGGCTAACCCTGGGGTCTTTTTCCTTTCTTACTTTCATCTTTACTTCAGGAAATAGCAAAAAGAAAAGCCGTCGGGGAGAAGAGGGTTGGATACTATGGGGAGAATGAAAAAGGCGGCTAGGAGATCCCAAAAAATAAAGTTTGAAAGTTTCCCCCACCCCAATCTTTTATCACTCTCTATAACTTGTCCTTACAGCACAGTGAAAACGAGTATGAGATTTTTTTCCAAGACACATGGAGCTCCTAAAACCATTTAGAGAAAGAAAAATATTTTACTCTAATATTTACAATTTGTGGACATTTTTGCAAAAGACGGCATTTCCGAGGCAGACCTGGAAGGCATTAAGGAGAGGGGGTCTGGGCGCTGCTACAGGCTCTCCCTGCTGTGTACACAGCTCCCAGTCGCCTAGTGAAGGCCGGCAGGTAATGAAACGCACACATTCATTGCATAACAACCAGGAACCTTCCTGATCTGAGGAGGTGGCATTGTTACCTCTTCCACATGCTTTCCAATTCAGCAGCAAAGACTTCAGCGCGGTGTTCGAAAGCCTAAAAGCCCTAGTCAATAACCCTTAAGGAAACAGATTAACACCACATTTTTAGAATATATATGTATATATCTATATATATATGCATAAAAAACTCAGAGTGGGTAGCAAGTACAATTTGGTTTTTATATGCTCTGTGCACACATCAAAATATCTGTTAGCATTAATAAATTGAATAGCCTGATCCCAAATCATACTGGCCTTAAGAATGTTTCATTTCTTAATTTTTTTTTTTTTTCTGGAGAGGTTTTTGCTATAGGGTGCATGCGCTTGCCAGAAAGAGAGATAGAAAACGAGAAATCACACACCCCCTTCCCCGGGGGATGGCCATGCCGCAGTCCCTTCTCCTCCATTCTCCTCTCCGGATCTTGGGCATGCTCTTGGGCATGCTCGCACACGTGCCTGGCATGAGTTTAAAGCCACCGGGTCTGGGACTTGAACTGCAGTTGACTACGTGGAAGTTCAGCGACATAGCCATTACACTAATTGCTGGTCCCAAGAATGTTTAATTTCTTAAACAAGGTTGGAGATGATCAGTTTGGGGATCTCTACTTTGTGTACTCCTGTGTCTCCCTCGCTGCCTGTCTAGCAACTCCACTTTTAAAAATCCACTTCACAGGCTGTTACAGACTTCTCTGGAGAGTGGATTGGGGCTGAAAGAGGAGGGGGTGGGGCAGTCCATTCTTCCACTTTCTGGAAGGTTTAACAAAATAGGTGGAAACTACCGGCCAGCTTTGGCTTTGAGGATAACCTGTGGAGTTGAAGCATTTGTGTAATCGCTCTCTCTCTTAACACAGAGACCAGCAAGCTGTCCACACCACGCAGAGGACTCAGCCAGTCTGAGAAACTAAATTCATTGTTCACTCCCGCCTTGTGGGTGCTCTGAAATGAACGCGCTCTTCTCTGCACGCTAGCAAGCCTGGGGTTGGCAGAAACACAAGTTTACCCCACAGCCATAGCTGTTAAAAATAGCAAGCACAACCAAAACATGAACCACTTTCCACTGAAGTTCTTCTAAAAGGCATGTTCCATTTCTTTTTCCCTTGTTTTTTATTACTTTTTTAAATAATTGTTTCCTTTATTTTATTTATCATTATTATTATTAGTATTTTTAAATTTGACCAGAGCGAGACACACACAGAGAGAAAGAGAAAGAGAGACAGCAAGAAGGCAAGCCACCAGGTCAAGGACTTGAACCGTGGTCAGCCATGTGGAAGTCCAGCACCTTTAACCTCCATGCCACCTGCCAGCCCTTCTTGAAAATTTCTCACAATGTTGAGCTTATGTCTCTTTTTAGGAGTATGTTCGTGCACTAACCGATGCCACAGCTATTGAATCTCACTACCAGGCTGCAGAGGACTGCAAAGGTAAACTCTCTTCCCTGCTCCGAGCTTATCAGTGGCGTCCCTTCCTTTCTGCTCCCAGATGTGCGCTCCTGGGACCGTGGCCATCATGTGATCACCAATGGCATTTAAATCATCACATAAATCAGAGGTGTAGGGTGGGTTACGGAGGAGAGTCTGAGGAAGGACAGTAAGAAAAATAGAGAGGCACAGCATTGATGGGACAAAGAAATGGGGTATTATCTGTTGAAGATAACTTAGTATTATCAACGACTGGGAGAAATGTACACATACTGGAATATTCACTTTGCAAGCTGAATAACGTGATCGAATGTATAAAAGAACTTAAACTAAAATTGTTTAAAAATTAAATAAAAAGCAAAGATGTTTTCTAAACCAGGGACAGCAAAATGTCTTTGGCAAGAAACCGAGTTTTTCATAAGTAAACAGTATATCATATTTATAAGATAAATTATAATTAAAAATTGAATTATTAATATTGAATTTAGCACGGCCAGTCAGTCATGTGGTGATTAAGGCAGCTAGATCCTGCATCACTGACCAGGCAGTTCAAGTCCCGGGTCTGGTGACTTGAAAAGGACTCCAGGCACATGTATGCATACCGAAATGGAAGAGAGAGGATTGTGGTATAGCCACCACCATCCCCCCACAACGGTCCGGGTGCTTTCTCATCCTCTGTCTCTTTCATTGTCTCTCTCTGGCAAGTACATGTGCCCTATAGCAAAAAATAAAATAAAAATAAATAAATTGAATTTTGCAGCTAGTAGACAGTTTTGCATACAGCCAACAATGTATCGCCATTCAAAACTCCAGTTAACTATTAGACGAACATATGCGGTCCCATGTACATTCATTCCGAAGTATTCAACATGGTTCGTTTAGCGTAACTCCTGAGTGCAAGTCTAGGGTACCCATCCTGCACATGTGAGCCGTTCTGCTGTGCATCCAAATATTCAATTAACTGCCTTAATTGCTTTGAGACTGTGTGCTTCAGATTTCTGCTAATTAACAGCACCTTAGACCTTCTCTTCTCAGTCCCTGTACTGTATTATCACCAAAGATGGAATTTCTATTTCTAGTTATCATAAGATGTCTATCACCATGAAATCTAAACACACAGATCAAAGATATAGGCCAGTTCTTTGATCTACAAACTAGAACAAGCACATCTAAATCCAATATCAGAGGGTCTAAAAATATTCATGCTCTGGATGATGAATGCAAATATTCTACATATCCCTCGATGTAATCTTTTATCCCTTTCAAACTAGAATCATATTTAATTTCTGAAATTACTATTGCTCATTCTTAGTGTTTACATAACTAAGGTCAAACTACACCAGTTGAACAATTTATTACAATTAAGACCTATATAACTAATTGGTATTTGATACCAAGAATATAAATAGAAACATCTAAAAGGGACAAACCAATTTAGACGTCAGAGGAACAGAATTACTACGATGGCTTCTGGGTCCGTGGTGGCTACACAGCTCTGCCCTCCGCTCTCTCAGGGTTGGCCTGCATGACCAAGGCGTTCCACGTGCAGGCCAGCGTGGGTCCTAGAGTGCACGTGGTGATCATTACCTCCTCTGTGCAGCTGGCGCGCTGGGATCACTCGACGACATGGCTAACACATGCCTGTCAGGGCCTGACTATGACATACCAGGAAAACACAGCACTCTGAGGCTTACCCACTTGGGAAGGTTGGGAGGTTTGTGGTTCGTATCCAGAGACCTCCCTGAGAACTCTGGCACACATGTATCCATGACCTGGCCTGGCTAAGCCTGGGGATGGATCATGGTATCAAGACCCTGTTAGGGGTGCCAATCTCTCTCTCTCCCCCTCCCTTTCTGTCACTCATTCATGGAAGATACACACACACACACACACACACACACACACACACACATATTTATTTATATATGTATATATGTGTACACACATATATTTATTTATATATGTATACATACATATGTATACATACATATTTATTTATGTGTGTATATATATATTTATACATTGGACTCCCACATGGCAGACAACAGTTTGAGTTCCAGACTGGCTCGCTTTCTTTCTCTCTCTCTCATTTGTTCCTGGAAGAAATAAATAGTTTTTAAAAAAAATAAGTCACTGAGGGAACCAGCAGTTAGCGTAATGGCTATGTCGCTGGACTCCCACGTAGTCAACCGCGGTTCGCGTCCTGGACCCGGTGGCTTAAAACTCACACCGGGCGCATGTACGTGCGTGCCCAAGATCCC